GAAATATTAGCACTACAATTCCCCAGTTTTCTACTTTATTATATTTCATTCTTCAGAATAGATGCATGTGTCATATTTTCTTTTTCTTTTATGAAATTAGCCTACATTTGATACAGCACTTAAAATGTCTCTGGCAATTCCTATTTAATTCAGATTTAGAAAAAATCATGTATGGTCTTTTAAAGATCTGTTGAAGTTGAATTGAAAACTGGGTTTTTTTGGGCAGAAAGTAATTTGCCCTTTTTTCTTGACTTCCTACTCAGAATCACTAATCTTTGTGTGACAATTAAAATCCCCAGTAGGACTATCACTGGCCTTTGGGATTTTTTCTCTCTTCTGCATGTCAAAGCAAAGAACAACGTCGTCTGTAATCTGTCCTTTGGACAGGACAAGCCAATGAATCTGGTTGTTGTTACGCTGACTAACATGAATTGAAAAATGGTAATAAGAGAGGGAGTCACTGTTAGATCTGATTTAAAATTGGATGAGCAAAACTTAGCAATAATGTGGTTCTCATTAAAAGTTTATCCCAGGCTTTGCCATTTCACACCTTCTCCATATTTCGGTTCCTAAATCAGCTGAATGCTATATTATAGTTCAGGATGTATAATTTTACTGCACAGCATTCAAACTAATTATTGCAATGGACGTTATGAAGATACGGTTACTTTTAACTTGGCTGAATAAAAATGAAAAGAAATATTACTGTAAATTACGGGATTGAAGTTTTGGGTAAACTGCTTATGCAGGCAGAGTATTTTGCTTTTCTAAGAAATGCATGCAACAGCTTCTCCGATTTCACCCTACTCATACTTTACATTTGTAATCTATGTAGACATTAAACTGATTTTGCAACTAATTATTCATATTTATTATCGAAACACAGCCAAAAATGTTTTCTATTTTTAATAAGCCCTAACTTGAAGTTGGTAAGGTATGTTGGGTACAGTATGTAATAACACCAGCAATCTCCTCCCATCCCGTTAAGGATATTATTTAAAAACAAAACCAAGCCCTCATGCTTATTGGTAACACTGATCAAAGCTGTGCATTTTTCAGGTAGCATGTATGATTGCAATTTGACAGAACTTATGTTTGTTTAAAACAAATCTGAGCTGTTATTCTTGGTATTAGATTAATTTTTCCTTCCTGGTTGCTGAAGAAATGTTGTTAATCAAGGGAATCGGATTTTATAAAAGATGCATAATTAAGATTTTCAAACGCAAAGTATTAATTTAAAAATCAATTTCATTTTGCAGTGTACCAGCACTAGGATTTGCTAACATAAAATACCTGTGTTTCCTGTTCCTGATGCTTTGTTTAAAAACTTTACTCAGTTCACAGAGGAAGGATAGAAATGCTTCTGGTGGACCGCAGTGCTTTTATTTCTGATCTTTGCATAAATAAAGAGGAACTGATTCTAAAAATTTTTAAAATGGATTTCCTATTTCAGTCTTAACAGCTTTGAAAATAAAAGAAAATATTCACAACTTCTATTAAGAGTTGGTTTCCTAGAAAGTTGGAGGAAATCTATGTGTTCAAAAAAAACCTCAAACAAAAAACTCTAGATTTAATCATATAAAATATTTTGCGTTCATTGTTTTCCCCATATGTTTAAAGTCCTTATGGATTAAGTAGGACCGTGTTACTAGTTATTTAATTTATAGGGATGAACTCCTTTTAGTCTAGAGAAAATGGAAAAACGTCTTTTGGTTATTTGCTTCTAGAGACGAGAATATAAAAAGTCCTCTCTTCAGGATCAGTTCTGTACTCAAACTCTGTTATGTTTGTCCAGCAGCGAAGTCACAGTTTTTGCAGCTTTCTGTTTATATTGTGAATTTTTTTTTCATTCTCTTTATTTTATCCCTCCTGTTTCTTACATAAGTTTTACAGCAGCAGCCTTTGGTGTTAGAACCAATTGTTCTAGTAAATATTGGGACTCTAAGAAGTTATTGCACATCTCTCTTTTTGCTCTTTTTTTTTGAATCTATGACTTGTGAAAGGTACCAGTGTGGTCCTGCTGACTCCAGAGCAGGGAAGGCGCAGCACAGGTACACTGCTGCTCAAGAGAGGGCTTGCTTATTTTGTCACCTAAAAAAGTTATTGTAAACCCTATCAAAGTAACCACTTTCTGATTAGTCAGTGGTTATTGCTGAGGTTGTAATCTGAATCTCCATAAAAGGAACTATGCTGATGGTACACGAAAGGCAGTAATTATGGAGTTGCAAACCCTGGAAAAGCAAGGGGCTTTGAGCTGCATGTGTGCTGCTTCCAAGCCAAACATACTTGGTGTGATACTGTCTGGAGTAGATGTGCTTATCCAAGCTGAGGCACTTGGCCATTTTCTACTTTTAACGTGGTCATCTCTTGGTCTTTATAGTTCTTCCCCCTCCTTATTTTTTTTCCTTCTTGTTACTGTGACTGCTCTTCAAAATCCTGCTATCTTATTTAATGAACCATTTTGCTCCCTACTCTCAGGAATCTTTCTAAGCTGTTTTGTCATCTTCCTCTTCCATTCCCACCCCTTCCCTTTGCTTTCTGTCTCCTGAGTGCTCTCAAACTTGAGCGTTGCTTTAACCACCATCTTTGGGGGAGAGAAGAAAGAAAAAGAAATGATTAAACAAGCAGCTCCCTTTCATCTCATCTTGTCGGTCTTTGTGCCGTTTTTGTGAGTATTGAGACGTCTTGCACTGTACTCTTGATCCTTTTTCACAAACCTGCCCTGCACAGCTACTCTAGCTTGCCTTGGGCAGCACCATCATTCATTCTCCCAGGCACTTGCACATGTAGCTTAGGTTTTGGCTTTGACAAGACCTTTATATTGGAACAATTATTTCAAGCTACTTTTAAATCTTTCTGTCATGTCTGAAATGTAGTGCCGAATCTCACCACCCACAGTGTTGAAAAAAATTTCGCATAACTTCTCTTATCTGATTCCTTGGTTGCCTCAACTTCTTATCTTCTGGCCTGGACTGCCGCTGCTTTTTTCCTTTGTTCATTCCTACTCTGCTAAGAATGCTGCTTGGCTCATTTTCCCGACCCTGTTGACCCTTTTAAAGTAATTTCACAGGCTTCCTTTCCCTTCCATGCCTTATCTGGGATTCTGGTCTCTGTTTAACACCTGTGTAGCAAACCTAGATTATCAGGTAAATTTTCAACCTTCTTCCTTAGCTCTGTAATGTAACCAATTGGCTTTATCCAGGAATAACATGATGCTTTCTTCCTTTCTAGCCATTACATGTAGGGGAGAGAATCCAGGTAAATCCAAGTGGCTCCTTTCATATTCTCTTTTGGATTTGTCATACACATGTCAATTATTTAGCTCTTTTGAAACACTAGGCTTTTCCTAGCATCACGAGAAGACAAGTGATGAGCTAAGACAAGTGATTTCCCTTCCTTTCTCTAACGTTTGTACTTTTGCTTCAATTGATTTAAATGGGGAAAAAAAAAAAAAAAAGCAAGATGCAGTCTGTCTTGGTTTAGTGTGTTCTTTCTTCATCTTGATAAATCTTCATGAGGAAACCAGGTAATCACCCCCCTTTCTTGAAAAGCTACAGGTGAAATGTGTGAATAAGAAGACTTTGTCAAAGAGCGAGCTTTTTTTTTATTCTTGGAACAGTTTTTTTGCAGTATTAGAACACCTCTAATGGGAGGCAGTTAGAGGAGTTAATCACACCAAAATATTTGTGATTTAAATTAATGCATATTAGGCATCCACTGTTAACAGCTTATTTGGGACATTGGTTGCATCCATCTTCCTCACAAAATATTCTTATTATTCAAATCATAAGAAAAGTCATGTTTCTGCAGATTTACAGCAAGTAAAAATCCTTCACATCCAAAATTTTTAAATTATATATGTGCAGTTTTCTCCCTTACTTAGACAACCGGTTAAGAGGAACTGTTCTGCAGATCATCTCTAGTACATAGCCCTAGGATCAGACAGAATTACTTGCTATAAAATTCCCATCAAAGAAACTAAAAGGAGTAGTCTGTACTAAAAATCTTGTAGAGAGCAATTGGGACGGAAGGGAAATGCAAACACTTGAACTAAGCTTGAGTTCTTAGCATAAGAAGTGTTGTGTCTTCCAGTTTAACTTTGTACCCTGGCAAGCAATTAGATGCTCAAGAGCTTTTTTTTTTTTTTTAATTTTTTGGATTAGCATCTATGTTTGAGGATGTGCGAGATGCTCTGAAAAGACTCTTCTGAGTATCTGTACAACATAGCACTGATTTTCATTGGTTTTGGGGAGACATTGGACTGTATGTGTAAGTGCAAAAGAATGTTTAAAACACATGTACATCCTTTAAGAGCTAAGTTTCTTGACAAAACTGCCTGTTATTTAGATATAACTGAGCACTCTGTTAAAATGTAAGTTACAGTAGTGGTGTTTAAATGTATAATTGACACTGAATAGTATAGGTGGCTGTCTGTATTTGTTCCTTTATTTAGAGGAAGGGTTGAAAACCTAAGTGCAGTATGAATTTAGTGTGATGTGGGTGTGTATGTAATATCTCATGGCAGGCAGACATTTTGCATTTTTTATTGGATGCTCTTTCTTTGTGTTTCTCTGAAGAATGAGACTTGAGTCAAAATAAATGGTGGTAAGAGCCTGCTAGATATTATTCTGCGGTTTTTTTTCCAAATTTGCTTTTTAGATTTTTCACAGATTAGTGTATCTGCTTGCTATCCTTACATATCGCCTGCTTATTATTTTTACTAGTTGCTAAGGGATACAAAACACTTTTGTTGCTCTGTTCTAAAACTGAATTGTTCCATTATTTTAATTGAGAGTTTTGCCAGATTAAAAAAAATTAAACTAAATGTGAGCATCGTGCTTTATTGTAGTGAGGAAAGTTACTGTATTATGTTAGAGAATGTATTCTTAAATTTTAGCAGAACGCAGTGTTGTGACTAGTGATCTAAATTAGTACTTAATAGAGGGCTTTTGCAGTGCTTGAACAGTGGACTCATTTTGAACCTTATTGGATCCTTTCAGATCTCAGCCACAGTGGATTGGGAGACCATTATGAGAATTCCCACTGGGGACAGCAGCCCGCTTTCAGGAGTGAAGGCAACTGCAGCTGGGATAAAGTGATAATAGACAGGACTGACAAGGAAGCGTGGCCTTCCATTACCGGAGCCGAGACTGAGTCTGCCTCAGAATGTACTACAGACACTGACTCTGCCTCCAACTGTGGCTCAGAGAACAGTAGCATGGCTACAGGGAGTGCCCAAGGCAACTTCACTGGACATACAAAGAAAACTAATGGCAATAATGGCGCCAACGGAGCACTCGTCCAAAGCACTTCTAACCAGAGTGCCCTTGGAGCTGGTGGAGCAAACGGTAACGGCAACTCGGCCAGAGTGTGGGGTGTGGCTGCGGGCTCCAGCTCTGGCCTAGCTCACTGCTCTGCCAGTGGTGGGGATGGAAAGATGGACAACATGATGGGAGATGGTAGAAGTCAGAACTGCTGGGGTGCTTCCAACTCAAATGCTGGCATTAATCTTAACCTTAACCCTAATGCCAATCCAGCTGCCTGGCCTGTACTTGGACATGAAGGAACTGTGGGAGCAGGCAACCCTTCCAGTATTTGCAGTCCAGTCAGTGCCATAGGTCAGAACATGGGCAACCAGAATGGGAATCCAACAGGCACGTTAGGTGCTTGGGGAAACTTGCTGCCTCAAGAGAGCACAGAACCACAAACGTCCACTTCTCAGAATGTGTCTTTCAGCGTACAACCTCAGAACCTTAACACTGATGGACCAAATAACACTAACCCCATGAACTCTTCACCAAACCCTATCAATGCAATGCAGACAAATGGACTGCCGAACTGGGGAATGGCTGTTGGTATGGGGGCCATCATCCCGCCCCACCTGCAAGGCCTTCCTGGTGCTAACGGAACATCAGTTTCTCAAGTCAGCGGGGGCAGTGGTGAAGGAATGGGCAGTTCAGTGTGGGGGATGTCCCCAGGTAATCCTGCCACAGGAAACAGCAATTCTGGGTTCAGTCAGGGGAATGGAGACACTGTGAACTCAGCATTAAGTGCTAAACAAAATGGATCCAGCAGTGCTGTGCAAAAGGAGGGCAATGGAGCGAGCGCGTGGGATTCAGGGCCTCCTTCTGGTCCTGGGGTACTAGCGTGGGGCAGGGGTGGTGGCAACAGTGGTGTTGGTAATATGCATTCTGGAGCTTGGGGCCACCCCAACCGTAATGCCAGTAACGGTGTGAATGGTGAATGGGGCAAGCCCCCAAACCAGCATTCCAATAGTGACATCAATGGGAAAGGATCAACAGGGTGGGACAGCTCTAGTGTTACCAGTCCGAATCCTGCCATGCAGCAGGGCAATGAACAAATAAACTCTTGGGCCAAAGCTGCAGCATCTGGCACCACGGCTAGCGAAGGAAGTAACGACAGCGGTGGCAGTCAAAACGAAGGCAGTACTGGGAGGGAGGGGGCTGGAGAGGGCAGGCGGAGAGACAAAGGGATGATAGACCAAGGGCAAGTTCAGTTGCCAAGAAATGACCTTGACCCCAGGGTCCTGTCCAACACAGGGTGGGGACAGACCCCTGTAAAGCAAAACACTGCCTGGGAATTTGAAGAGTCCCCAAGGTCTGAACGAAAGAATGACAATGGAACAGAGGCCTGGGGTTGTGCAGCTACTCAATCTTCAAACTCAGGGGGGAAGAACGATGGGTCCATCATGAACAGTACAAATACCTCTTCAGTATCTGGGTGGGTCAACTCTCCACCGGCAGCTGTTCCAACAAATACAGGTTGGGGAGACAATAACAACAAAGCACCAAATGGCCCAGGGGGATGGGGAGAGTCAGCAAGCTCTACTACTGTTAATAATGCTGCTGCTGCCAAAAGCGGCCACGCTTGGAGTGGGACCGCAAATCAGGAGGACAAATCACCTACCTGGGGTGAACCTCAGAAACCCAAATCTCAAAACTGGGGAGATGGACAGAAATCAAATCCAAGCTGGACTTCAGGAGGTGGAGATTGGACAGATTCATCATCTGTTCCTGGACACTTGGGTGATGGGAAGAAGAATGGATCTGGATGGGATTCTGACAATAGATCAGGGTCTGGTTGGAATGATTCCACGAGGTCTGGGACCAGTGGTTGGGGAAATGGCACAAACAGCAAGGCTAATACAGGTACAAGTTGGGGGGAATCTTTAAAGCCAGGCCCCCAACAAAATTGGGCTAATAAACCCCAGGACAGCAATGTGAGTAACTGGGGAGGAGCTGCTTCTGTAAAACAGACGGGGTCAGGGTGGGTTGGTGGGCCAGTGCCAGCCAAACAAAAGGAGAACTGTGAGGCAACTGGCTGGGAAGAGCCATCTCCACCGTCCATTCGCCGCAAGATGGAAATTGATGATGGTACCTCAGCTTGGGGCGACCCAAATTACAACAACAACAAGACTGTAAACATGTGGGATAGAAATAATCCTATAATTCAGAGCAGTACCACAACCAATACCACCACCACTAGCACCATTATCAACACAAATATGGTTGAACCTCAGCCATCGCACCAGTCAAGTGCCCAGCCGAACCGGTCCCCACTGCTTGGTCCAGGTATGAAAATAGTTTTATAAGATACTTTATACCAGTACCAATTACTGAATGCTGTCTGGCCTGATCAGTGCGTAGTTACACATTAAAGATAGAAATCCTGTATTTATGTCATAGAATAAGTTTATTCCTTTACTCTGAAGCAGTGTTAACTTCTTGAAGACGGAACCCATGGAACCTGACACACAAGCCTCTAACGTCCAAGTGAATGTAAGAAAGGCTTGAAACAATAGCTGGTCAACAATGCACTAGGTCCTTACATTGTTGATCCGTATTTATTTTGTCAGCTCTTCCACAGTTACGTAGCACCTTCTTTTAATTCAACCATTTGAGAGTTTGGGGTCCTTTTGCTAAGCTTTTTCCCCTTACTTGTCTTCTGTTACCATTGCTCCGTCTTTGTTCTTGTTTAGACAGTATGCATCTGTTTCTTTTCTGCAAACCATCTCTCTTGGCAACAGATGTTTTTTAACGGTTGCATGGATCTAGGCTGTTGCTGTTTCTCTGTCTACTGTTAGTTGTCTTTTATGAAGAAACAGTTCTCTTCCATACTTCAGGTCTCAAGCACGGGTAGTATCCTGGACTTTTATGTGATTCTCGTAAAGCTGGATTGGTTAAAGATGTTAATATTCAGGGTGGCTGGGAAAAGTTATTTGAACTTCAGCTGTGTTCCAAACACAAGTTTTTAGGCATCTGGGAATTTTTCTAATCAAAGACAAGGTACTGTTGTAGACAAGCAGCAAGGAATAAAAATGGGGAAAAAATTAGAAAAATGCTTAGAAGGGAGGTATTTAAATAAAAGTTACTAGTAGCCCTGCTCCATATCATGACCACAGACTTCTCAAAATAAATCTAATCTTGCAATGCTCTTTGAAATTCTTCATCTGATTTTTGTCTTCCAAGTTTTTGTTTCGTCTTGGTCATGGCTAAATATTGACTTTTTAACCATGTTTTTCTCCAAGTGGGATTTGTTCTGCTTCTCTTATTTCCATCATTTTTCTCTTTGATGTTTTGAAATAATTCAAACTTACTGTAATGTCTGTGTAAAAATAGTCTCATGTTCCCTACTCTGGTCAAATATTTTAACAGTTGAGACTATCTGTTTTAATAAAATAACATGTGCTCCAGAAGGAGAAGTCTTTAAATAGGTTTGTACTTGGTCAGTCCAACATACATGATCTATAATTCATTTACCTTAAACTTATTTCATCCATATTTAAAACTTTACCCATGAAACTGACAATTCAAATTTCTGAACTGTAGTGGAGATACCATGAAAGTGGGTTTTTGGTTGGTTTTGGGGTGGGGTTTTGGGTGGGGTTCTTTTTCCCCCTGTTAAGCTGATTTTTGGATGATTACATCCGTGCTTGTAAAACTGTTCATATACAGCAATGTATTGTTAATGCTATTCAAATAGTCTAACACCTTGCAGAGGAAAACTTACTGTTCCGAGTCCTTCAGGTTTTGAAAATGAAATTTAAAAACTGGTGTTAATCTACAGTGATTCCTCTGGAGAATAGATGGTAGCAAAGGATTGGTTTTTTTGAAGTAATATGTTTATGCAGAGAACTGCTTATTAGTTTGTAACCATCCACTCAAGCTACCACATGACTAGGTTAAAATGACAGTATTGTGCATCTTGCAGAAATGTACATTAGAAGGATTCTAAGATACTAAAGCAAAACCAACTCTCAGAATATACCTAAGAATGCATGCAAGAGAGAGGATAAACTGAGTAATGGTGAAAGCAATTTAAAATACGGTTCTGATTAAAATTTAGATCAAGTTATTGCGGGCATAAGTTAGGCCTTTGGTTGTGTATTTTTGCTTACATATGCTTACAGTTGTGTACATAGGTACAGGTCTAAACGCCATACATGGAAATATTTTGAAGGATTATTGTCTAATCTGCAAATGGAAGCTGGGAGCTGTCCCCTGTTTTTATGTGTTATGCCCATCTTTACTTTTGACTGTGCCTGAGAGGGACTAGTCTCGTGCTTATCTTACACAGAGAGCAGAAAATGTAATTTTAAATGATCCTATTAGTTTCCCCATTCAAAGTGCAGAAGACCTATTTTTAACACTGCGTGTAGCACATAGCAGCTGTAAAGCAATATCCTGTTGGTCTTTGTGGAAATTTACTCAGACTTAAAACATCTACAAATCATGTCCCATCTGGGACAGCTAAAAGATGAGAAGCAAGTAATGAGCGGCTTTTCTAGGACACAAATATGGGCTTGCAGTTTGTTGTCATGCTGTTTAACCTTATTTTTTCCTCCTCCAATTCCCTGCCCCGTTGGCTATGCATTTCCAACCTCTACAGTAAGGGAGACGAGAATCCTGTAGCCAGGAGACTTCTTTAAATCACAATCAAATTTCATCCAACAACAGTTTTCCATATACAGTATTTGCGTGCAAAACATGATTGTGCAATTGAAGGCTGTGCCATAAGACATAGGTTGAGTGCTCGCCTAAAATCTTACAACATTTTAACTAAGTAGTTACCACTGGCATTTTGCCTTCTGCATGGGTCATGACGTGCTTTGCCAATCATTTTTATGATTCCCTGTTATTCAGGGAATATCATGAATAAGGAATCGTGGATTCTATTCCTGTATAAGTAGGGAAGTCTGGTGAGCTGCAAGATGGCACAGTCACGCATCCTGAAAGCAAAGAAGTGAGTTTTAATTTTGCTGTACAGCACTAGTTAGCTGTTCATAAAGGAGTAGCAGTCCCTTTTGGGTTTTCAGTTTATACTGTATTAGTTTAGAAATGGAGGCCAAGTTACAGTCTTGTTATTCAAGTTGTCACCCATCCCCAGAAGTTCTTTGAATACAGAACTTAAAAGCTACTGATGGGAAGCAGATGTTGGTACGCATTGGATGAAAATTCATAATGCTGTAAGGAGTTTCTTTTTCTATTGAAAAAAATGGATGGTGTGATAAATGTAGTCCTTTCTGGTTACAGGAACTTGCTCCCAAACTACTGGTGAGTTATTTAGAAAGAGAAGCAGAAAGCTAGTCGTTTTGATTTAGATTCAATTTTTATCTAAATTATTCGTGCATAATTCTTACTAGCACTTTTAACTGTTGCAACTTTGATACAAGGGGAATAAGAGGTGAGAAAAGGTTTTGCAAACAGGGATGATTAAAAGAGAGATTTTTGGATCCCAAATGGCACCAGAGCCTTCCTCCAAATGCTGAGGAGTGGGCTTGATGCTTTCCTTTTCCCATTAGGTAGGTAGAGGCTGGCAGGGTTCCAACTGCCCGTCCTCCAGCTGAGAAAAGAAACAACAAAAGATGATGTAGGCTTCCCTATGGAGATTTTAGGTTGAAAATGAAGGTCTTTGTGGCTCCTAGAGAGTAAGGAGCTTAAGTTTTAAAAATCTGAACCAGGTCTAAATTCCAAAAGCTCTGAACATCTCTGTTCCTTTTATAATCCAGTGCCGTTGTCTCAGCGGTGACTTATGTGTCACTCATAGCATGTAATTTATGTGAAACAGAGAGCGCAAGTGATGCATTTTCCTTACTTTGAACTTTTATCAGAGTAGATTTGAAACCAGATCAGTTTTGAGCTCTTTTAGGATGCTCATATGTAAAAACCTAAAATCCCGTTATGGGTGCTCAGCCTTCTTTCTAACAGCCAAGTTCTGGAGGGCAGCCAGCTGATAACTGAGAAACCTGCCCTCTATTTTCACACAAGGTTGAAAGCTTCCCTAATGCTGAGCAATGTAAGAAGGCATAGAGCCCCACCGCATGAACTGGAATGCCTTTCAGAAAATGAAGACCTGAAAGGTTAAGGATTACAGGTGACTTAAAAATGTGTATGACCCTCCCCTTTACACACACACTCCCCTATAGCTTATTTCTTTTCTATTATTAGCAGATTAACTAGTGACTATCTAGTCAACAATCTCATTTTTCTACCTAATTTCTTCCTTTTTCATCTACATAAGGTTCTAATATGTTGTTTGCCTGTATTGTAGTCATACACGCTGGTATTTATCACGAACCAAACAACTTAAAGGAAAACAATTTCTGCCATCCAAATGGCTATAGGGTTATTTTGAGGGAAAACAACTGCATCCTGCCACAGTTTAGTTAACGTTTCACTTTCCCTTGAGGATTTCCTGTTGGCTGTGGGCCAATGTTAATTATGTTTTTATTTCTATAAAACAAAGCTCTGCCAATGCGTCCATGTTTATTACTCACTGTGATCTTTTTGTTTCTTGCAGTTCTAACAGTGTTTAAAAACTTCAGTATTAAAACCTCATTTTCTTGCCAACGAACCCTTTAACAGAGCTTATTCTGTTGCAAAACAACATTCATGCAGATCTGGGTGGTTTTTAAGGCATGGAGCTTTTTCTCAGGAAATAAATGCATATTTTCATAAAGAAAATAGTAAGTTTTCTCTGAGCAGAATTTTTGAAAACGTTAGGCAGGTTCAGATTTTGAGACCACTGTGAAGGTGTTTTCCTTCCAAACAGCTGTGTAAAGGAACTTAAAACTAGCTTCTTGTGTTCATTCAACCCACTGCAATGCCATTTGTGAGCTGCCTTTATTGCGAGGTATGATTGTACTGGAAAGCATCACGCTGCTGGAGGCAAGCTGTTGTGACTACAAACTCTTTGAACTAATATTCCACCTGCGTCTGTTTCAAATATGAAGCATACTGAGTTATTTTAAAAATTGAGAAAAACCTTGTTTAGCAGAGAGAGTCCTTTGGAGGATAGAAAGTAAATTTCTTCTTTTTCCTGGAGAATTTTGCATCATTCATTCAAAAATGTAACTTTATTCACCTTTTAAAGTTTATAAAATAGAGTCATATGGAGTCATTAAAAGGTAGCACAGAGATAGTAACATTAAGACAGCAGATACTTAACACAGAGGGGAAAACAGGTTGGTAACTGAGAAGTACTCTGGAATTTACATACACGTTAATTTTTGCAGTGCACAAGTTATTTCTCCAGCAGCTTTCAGGTTTTATTTACTAATTTTCTGCACTAATTTGGTCTGTTAATATAGTTTTGAAAACTTTTACTTGATGCGTTTTGTTTGCTTTTATGTACTTGCAAGTATTCTCTTTTAGTACAGGCTGGCTCCCTCATTATTTGTAATCCTATGTTATTTACTGCTCAGTGCATTTAAAGCACTTAACATAACTTGGACGTTACACATCTGTGGTCTTTTATCGATGTTGTTGAATTTATAGTAAAGAGCAACAGAAGGACTAGTTCTTTTGAATTTTTATTCTACAACCTAGCATGCTTTGCCTTTTCAATATATGGATTGTGTTTTAAGGTTGATTTCGTAAATTGAATTAGTTTCATGAACTCAGGGAAGTATTAGTATTCTGCACTCTCCCGATTTGTATTTGTATTCTAGTCGGTGCTTTAGAGATGTTTTGTTTTCTGTTTCATTTGCCTGCAGTTAATCTTTTTCAGATGCCAGTATGATTAAATACGTGCAGTTGTTTGACAAGGTTGTCTCTTCGAGTAGTGAGGCAGAAATTCAAATGAAGTGTTCCTTAAATAAAGTTGGCTTAAAGATACAAACAGAAGGCTTGAATAAGTATTTTAAAAGCAACACCAAGGAAGTGTTAAGTAGAGGTTCATTTATATACCTACCTGCAAGTTTGTCTTCTGTACACACTTTAAAATAACCAGAAATTTAAGATATGTTGGTAGAGCTTAGAACACAGTATTTTTGTTTCAAATGGAAATCAATTTAATGAAACAGTGAAATTTGGGGTGTTTCAGGAGTATGTTTTAAAACACAATGAATCTTGCTGGTAGTGAAGGAGCTTTATTAAGCTATAGGAATAGTGCTGCAGCAAAGTGGGCACCTAGTCCTTAAATTATAAAAATTGGCTGAAACCAGAAATGACACTCTTTTTTGGGTAGTAGCAAAACCAAGTTTGTTTCTTTCCAAATCTGGTTCCATGTTGTGAGCTGCCAGAAGTTACAGATTTGGCAGGGCAATAGTTGATGGAAATAAAATACCCAAACTTAATAATACTCCTCTCCAGTGAAAAGAGAACAAGTTCCTGAATTAGCAGCCTAATTAACAATGGAAGTTTTAAGCAGACTGACTTCTGCAATATTTGTTGAAATCTCTGTTGTCATGTAATGGAATGCCTTTTGTGACAGTTGTAGAAAAATAGGTTAGTATCAGGTATATGTAAAAACTTTGTTTTCTTGCCTGTTATGTATCTGTCGCTTTTCTATATTTTTAAAAAGTACCTTGAACTCCATCTATGATCCAAAGCTTTCTCTTCAGAAAAAAACTTTTTTTAAGAGGTAATGGTCGTTTTAAATTCAATTTACACTTCTGCTGTGTTGGTCAGTGTTGCTCTTTAGGACTGAGAAGCTATATGGCTGTTCCTGGCACATTCAACTTCAGTGCTAAAATAGGTGTCATATGGATTTAAGCGCATTACATTCAAGTCCAGCCAGACTAAGACAGTTTCTTTATAATAGCTTAAGTCTTTCAATGAGTTAAAATAATACTCTGTAGGAAAACAATGACTTCTACCTGCCATTCCTCATAATTTGACTATAGATTCTAATTGCAATCTTGTCTAGTTCTCCTTAAAAATAATATTTATTATAATGTAGAGGCTCAGTGATGAAGGGGTACATAGGGAACACAGTCAACCACAAGCTATAATAAAAGCTTTAAGGAATGCATACAACATATATAATCTATGTTAAAATTGGTAACAAACAAGTATCATCTTACTCGTAGGGCATGAGAAAAGTGATTTGATAATTTGTAAATAGTTAAAAGGGATTAAAATAGCTTAAAATCTTTCAGCAGAGCAAGGCCCAACTCAGATTTGGGTCCTGGTCTCCTGAATGCTTACACTGCTGTGTGTGCTCCCCAAGCTCTGTTTGGTCTGCTCTGAGAAGCCATACTGGAAGGAACTGATCCCTTGGGACCAGGTGTGGTGCTCACGTGGCAGCCTGACTGCTCCTGGCTATGTTGAAAAATACTCCTTCTGTCTTGACAACTTGGCATTAGTATTCAATTAAGAAAAAGACTTTTGAGACCAAATAAATGGGATTTTATTTTAATATGCTTAATTAGAATCACCGTGTCTACTTACTGGTTCATGCTTTTTCCAGACACACACTTTAATAAAATGTCCATCTTTGAAATTATTGACAAAAGAAACCTTTCCTCTCATCACTGTTCTTCTCTCCTTCCCGTTGCTTCAGCAGGCTGGGGAGAAATGCCTACTGTCCACACAAAGACCGAAGCTTCTTGGGGAGAGCCGTCATCCCCTTCTGCTGCAGTTGATAATGGCACTTCAGCATGGGGGAAACCCCCCAGCAGTGGTACAGGGTGGGGAGAGAATCCTGCCGAGTCGGCAGGGACATATGGAAGAACAAATGCTCCAGCTGCTGCCCCAGCACTGTGCAAACCAGGTACATGCATGGATGTCACTGTAGTAAGAGGTTGGGGGAAAACGTAAAGTGCATTTGATTCTGCCAGTGTTTTTAAACAGCACTACTTCTGCTTTTCTGTGCATTTAAATCTTAATTTCATTCTTAAAACTCCATTAGGTGTCTCAAAACGTCGGTATTCCAGATAGGAAATTCGTACGAAAATATGAATATAGTGCATCAATCCAGTAAATTTAAAGGTATTCCTTAGAGTGTTTTTGTGTACTTCGACAGCAGTATAGAATAAATTGTAGAAATGCAGGAAACTGTAAAACTGCAAAAGAATGTGAAACAGTACTTAGCCCTTGCTGTCTAAAAGAAACCTGTATTGGGATGAGAAGCAACTGAGCTCAGTTGAGATAGGATTGATTTTGGTAGGAAAATAAACACTTGAGAATGACTAGTCATAACTTCTCTATTCTGTTAAACTGAGGGAGTGGATGTCTTCTTCCGCTGTTAAAACTGTTCACAGGTTCAGGAACATCCTGAACTATTTACTGCTTCACAATTCCTAGCTAATGTTATTTGATAAAAATCCTCCATCTCTAAATGCCCTGATGGCTACAGTCCTTGTTTTAGACTTCTGCTTTGGCTGTGGTAGTCTTTAAGCTTCCCTCCTGCAAAATACTATACTGAGAGATAGATAGAAGGCCCAGAAAACCTAAACAGAGGAGTGAGAGATCTTAAAATTAGTAATCTCAGCTTTAAACAGAGTAAACTGAATAAAATGGAACGAGGTGACACTACCTCATCACTTAATGTAAAGTGTTCCCTGCAGCCCATGTCCTCCTTTCAGATCCCATTCTTCTGAGATGGGAATGAGTTTCTGACCGTTAGTACCTCGAAATTTGGGTTTGTTCATCAGACGAATGCGGCACCTAAAATGGTGAGATTCATTGAAAGCAAAATAGCACTTATTAAGTGTGTGGTCCTACTTCTGGTTCCTTGTTCCTGGGAGACTGGAATGACCATAACCACAGATCTTACTTCTTCAGGAAAAAGCAAGATTTGCTGTTGCTGGACTTTTTCTTCTATAAAGTATTTAGAGAACTTTTCTTTTTTGCTAGCTTCAAAGAAGGAGTCCTTATCATTTAATGCCAATTAAGCTACTTGATGAACCTCTATATCTCTTGAAAATACTCAAATGTTAGCATACTAGACATGGCATAAAAGGAAATTGAATCTGATTTTTCTTCTCCCTCTTTCCCTCCAGCTTCAAAATCTATGCAAGAAGGCTGGGGCAGTGGTGGGGATGAAGTGAATCTCAGTACTAGTCAGTGGGAAGATGAAGAAGGAGATATGTGGAATAATACTGCTTCACAAGAGAGTAGCTCCTCCTGTAATTCTTGGGGGAACGCCCCGAAGAAAGGACTTCAAAAGGTAAGACAAAAATAAAGATACTCTCTAGAAAGGAGTGGAATTAGTGTAACATTTTTAGAATAAGTTGTCACAAATTTTCTGTTGCATTACACCTGAGCTCTTAAATTAGACCTCTTGACACCTGAACACAAACACAGCTTGCCACTACAGTGGTTCAAGTACAGCCTACTTTGTTTCCAGGGGAAAATGGGAGATGTCAGGTGCTTCGGGCGATTTGTTGTTGTTGCTTTTGTTTTCTCTAAGTTTTATAAGCTTCCATGTATTCTCAACAAATTATAATGTATTAAGAGAAAGAGAAAAAGTGTTAAGGGGGATTTCATACACTTTCTGTCATGGTAGAAAAGTGAACGATAGTTTGTGATGAAGTGGTTCAGCAAAAAAATATCTATTTCCTATTTGTGAGGAACAAATAGATAATTTTAAGGTCTGTACCGGTATGAAAGCAAAGCAAATTTGTATTAATGCCGCACTCAACCAAGAACATAGACAGTTATGTTAGGAATTTTTCCATTGCACAGTCTTTATTTCAGGACAAGGCCAGGCTGTAACTTAAAGGAATTGGGAATGCATTTAGCCAGTTTGTTTGTTATTCCATTAGCCAACAGTTAGGCCAGTGATTTGATCAAGTATGGTTGTTTCTTGTACTGTCCGCAGCCCAAAACAAATCCACGCTTGTCCCTTGGTACTTTCTGGAGAACTGAAAGGAAGAGACTTCTTAAGGATTTTGTGATAGAAAAGCTGCACAGAGATCTTTTAAAGGTGTTTATCTAGACGCTCTTGTTTGTTTTTAAGAAAATACACTGAGTAACATTCTTAACTTCAAGGTTGCAAACTTGTTTTTGGGAATGTTTTTCAGGAAGTGTTGTACTGTTTCAGAATCTTTGATTTCATTATGTTTTTCTGCCAAGGATTAAAATGAAATATGTAAATTCAAAGGTGGCTTTAATTCAGTGGTTAGCAAATCAAATACTAAATAGTACACTGAACACCTATTCAGCCAAGATAAAATTTGTACACTTTGTGGGGGAAGAGAATCATAGTTACATTGTTCAGAGGGTTCTTCAATACTTTCTAAATTAATGTACTAATATATCTTTCAGTAGCATGTATTATTAATACGAAAAACTTACCATGTATTTTATGTACATCTCGCTAGTATGAATATGGGAACCAGACCATTAATGGAATCTCCTGTTTATTTACTAAGGGCATGAAGACATCTAGCAAGCAAGATGAGGCCTGGATCATGAACCGTCTGATAAAACAGCTCACAGACATGGGCTTCCCTGTGAGTAGTGTTCATAGCTAGCACACCTGTGGCTTAGCTGTTGCAGCTTGTAGTTCTGACTTCCGATGTTTCAGACTGTAGCTACAAAAAGATCTTCAGTCTCTTCTTCAGGCCAGGAAGTAGTTCTGTTACCTGCATTTAGACATATACTCTAATTTCAGAAATCTGCTGTAGGCTAGTAGAGTGCTCTCTGAGATTACTTGATGATATACTTTGTGTGATGATACTTACAGGTCTTTTGAAGTTCAGAGTTTTATAACAATAGGTGTTACTTTGAACTTAGTAACAATTCCACTCCTGTTCCCCTTTTCTTATTGAACAGGTGAAATTAGAGTATAGCTGTGTTTTTTAAAGAAAGGCATATCATAGTGATATTTAAGTTGTCCATAGAAAACAGGAAGAAGTTTAAATAGAACAGTATGATTTGACCTCGTAGAACTGGTACTTACTTGACAAACTGAAACAAACTGAATTGTTGTGGGAATTGGTAAAAGCAGAAGAAATTGTGCGCAGACATTATTTGTGCTGCTGAGTAAATATTAAATCCGGTATTTGAGACGTATCTGTTTTCTCAGCTTGCTTTGAAATCATATAGGCATGATTACTTTTTCTCTTAACATAATCCATGTTTTTGACAGAGAGAGCCAGCAGAAGAGGCCTTGAAGAGCAACAATATGAATCTCGATCAGGCCATGAGTAAGTATCTGTGTAACTAATTTTTTTTTTTCTTTAAAGCAACACAGGAACCATTCATGATTCTGAGAGTTTGATCTTACCCAGATATATTTGATAATATTTGTTTTCTTGCTTTTGCTTTTGTAAGCAAGACCTACTTCTCTGTTCTACTGTCGGCAAATTCACTGTCTTTGTGTCACCTTTTTCAATACATTTCCCCTTTCTGTGAAGGTGCTCTGCTGGAAAAGAAGGTGGAAATGGACAAGCGTGGAATGGGAGTGACCGACTATAATGGAATGGTCACCAAACCCCTTGGCTGCCGCCCACCACCAATCTCCAAAGAGTCTTCCATGGACCGCCCCACCTTCCTTGACAAGGTAAGTTCAGAAATACGAATGTGATTTACAAGTCAAAACTGTACACAGTATAGAAATATTGATGATTTTGATTGTCTGTTTAGAAAGCTGTAGAGAGAAGTGTGATAGATAATTACATATTGCTTTATTCTTTTTCTTCTCTTGTTTAATCTTGTGGTTAATTTAGTCCTTGTGGAAAGGACCAGTTCACACACAGAAATAAACGATGGGCATTGCCGGTGTTACACCTGAAATGAAAACCTACTAAGGAATCAGTAACGCAGTGGAACTAGAAATGGGAAAAACAAAGAAACATAGCGCAGAAGGCCTTTCACTCTGTAAGAGTCCAGAGAGTCAGTGACCCTCAGGCAGGACCAAGGCCAAAATCTTCAAAAATTAGGCTCCTAATTCCTGTTTTAGTTTTGAGCTTCTTATAGATTTCAGTGAAAGTTCAGTACTTAAATAGGAATGAGGAGCTGAGGTATTTTTGTTAAGTCAAAGAGCAGACATGCACAGTCATAAATAGCTTCTCCGATGAGCTTCCTTTTCTGTGATCATGTATGACAAATCTTCCAGCACCATTTAACAACCGAGGAGAAGGCTTCAGAAGTTCCTGGTGTCCAAGATTCAAAGTGCCTAAAGGAAAG